GAATCTCTTCATAAATGATTTCCATGAAAATGGCTTAGGCACTTTTAAAATGAGCTCGGAGCCGAAATTTCTGGAGTCCAAACGGCATTAGCCCGGCCACGGTTTCTACCAGTAGCGGCCCCGCTCAGCTAGAAAAAGCCAGTGGCAGAAACCCGCGGAATCTCGTACCATGACGCCTGACGCCGCCCCGTGGGAACGAGACGGTATCAACTTACATATCCTAGTCTGCTGGAGAAAAACCATTCATAGTACACTACCAATCTGAAGGAATCTGACCGTAAACGTGGAGTAGTGAAGGGAACACGGACTCCGGAAGTATCTACTCTATATTTGGGTAAACGAAGGGATCAGGCCTGTAATGGACACAGTGCTTACCGTAGGTGTCCCTGGCAAGTGCCAATTGTTGTCGATCGATCAGCGATTTCACTCGACGCACATCTCCGTCTTCGACTGCTTTGTGAATCGCGTCAATTTTTGACTGGAAAAAATAATTTGGGATAGATATTCAGATAAGCACAGCATTCACGAGGTGAAGTATCAGACTGCTTCTTGAGAGGAAGCTGCTGTGCGTTGTTATTACCTTTTTCCATATTCAAAACTAATTTTTTTTCCAAAATGTGTGGAAGAATGATTTCCAATCCTAACTCGGTGTCAGGGCATAGACGAGCAGGCGTCTACACCGCCAGTGGGCGGAGAGATGAAAAAGGGTGTGATTCCCTGAGGAAGGGGCGTTCCAAAGAATCCCGTCAGTATGGTGGACAATTTCTTAGATCTTGTGAACTTTTGGGAAGGCAAAGTAGTAGCTGCACTTCTCACGAACATACGAAACCTTGAACGATGATCATTTACTTGAGGTGCAACCATGTCGCGGAAGTGGGGAGGGCGTTGCTGCGTTTTTCATTTGTACATGGCATATGATTCATTGATTATGAGTCCTTTCTTGTTCGAGACAACTATCCTCCTGTCTTGTACAGAATCCCGCCAAAAGCGCAGCCGTCACCACAAGCAAACCGAGTGCACAGCCACGCCCTCCCCGTCTTCATGACCTGGAGTATAGGGATCTAGCCACCAGGAATATTCCGAAACTACCTCTTTTACAAAGGAAATCGTTCTCGCCGAGCTCTTTTCTCCCACTCCTTAGGCAATACTTCATTCTCAAGGTCACATTAGTTGCGTAACACCTTCCTGCACTTTACATCCAACATAAAAAAGGGATTAATTCTTAGAAGCATCCAATCTTGTAAATGGAAAGAATTCTAGTTCTCATGTAATCGTGAAATGCGCTTTTAAGCTAAAGCACGCAGAGCACAGGCTGTCCACGTCATTTTGAGATGAGCCACGCATCCGACTTTCATTCAGGATGGCAGTGACACTTGAATTCATCCAGATTCCGAAACAGATTGTGAGAACCATCTGATGGATCGACAGTTTCGTGTGTTTGGTATTCAGTGTGTATCCTCTCACATAATTCTGTACCGAACAGCTCAACTCGACAGAAGGACCGTTCGGTTGCTCTCAGCAAGCTCTAAGCCAGGGTTTCGGACTCGAGCCATAATAACAGTAGAAAAACCACTGTGCGCTGATGCCGGCGCTACCAGTAGTGGTATATCCGTGATCGGGGTAAAGCCTAGGAACGGAGTTCAGGCAGGAGTTACCTTGGAGATTCTGGGGTCGAAGAAGCATAGTACTCAGAACTCTAGTTTGCTGCTGACGAATGGCTCCCCTACGCTTCATACTGACTTCAGTGGAACTTTATAGTATTGTTATTGTGCATCACACTACATCACTCATCGCAGTGAGATACCATGAAAAGTGCTGTAAAAAAATCTCACCTGATAAACTGTGAGACCGCGCAGGAACTCCTTACTCGCTTCATTGATGGACGATTTCTCCCTTAACATGCAATTTTGAGATAAAAATGTGATTTTCAACTAACCATAAGTCCACCTTGAAAAAGGCTATACTTGCTTTGAGAAATCACTACTAGCTTACTTGAGTAAATGGCCGCGTCCATCGAGTACGAGCTGTTCCAGTTTCGCCACCTCTCCGTTCGCAATCCATTCGTCAATTACAAGATCAGATGGTGCGTCTATAATGAGAAAGCACATAAAATAAGATTTTGAATCCTATCGTAATGTTCAGGAAGTCTTTAAGTCTCTTTCTGGTTGAGCGACTGCGTTCAATTGCATGACGCGATGCGATGGTCCAATCCTTGTTTGTTATCGCCTTCTGATATCAGCCGTTTTTTTCGGATCCGCACTCACTTTCTATTTTTTTTCTAGCGCGTTAGACGGAAGAACAGGGTAAGGTAGAGATGTCACCACTCCGGACACTGAACGATGACCCTCAACCCTTGTATCTTCAGAATCTGCCGAACCAAGGAGGAGACCCAAGCATGTTTGACAATGAATTTTGACACTCAGTGTATCCATGAAAAATATCCGTTTTGGCGCTGTTTGGCCTGAGAGGGCATTTTGCACTTCCAATAGTCCTTTTGCTAGTTCATGTTAACTAACAGGTCTCGTTTCGGTGAAACGTGTTAACTGAAAATGCGAACCCACGAAATGGTTCAACTGATGGTGAGCCACCTTGGTAACAAGGATTCACAATTTTCTGGGGTATCAGGCGCTTTCGCAGCCTTATGATGACGTGTCATTGCGGCTGGGATTGACGC